GCAGTCATAGTAACAGAAACAGTACTCCTTTGTGACTTCCAGCTTTCAGCAGATGCTTCACAGTGGCTTCCTGTGTGAACATTCCTTGATCTCTGGCACCTGGGCCTTTCCTTCTTTTGGTTCCTAGCTCAGCCACATTTCTATAAATTACCTTATTATATTTTACCCGCATTGGAAATATAATGAAGCAGAATGGAGCCCCTTTCACGTCAGCTCACTCTGCCCAGAAGTTCCCAGAGTAACTTTTCAAATGAAGATATAAGGAAATGAAGAATTTAATTTCTTTTATGTACAATGATACTTAGAAATCAAAATAATAATGAACCCTATTGAGAGAGTATTTGTTTAAGAACAGATAACTCAACACAGAAAAAATACAAATGATCAATAAAGTTCATCCTCACTAGTACGCCAATAAAAGCAATATAATGAGCTATCACTTTCACCAATTAAATGACAAGGATTTTTTTTTCTTTAATACTCAGTGGTGTAAGATAGGGTACAAGGAACTAGGTAGGCACTCTCATGGGTTTCAGTATATGTATTTTTATACCATCTCCAGAGAGCAATCTAGCAAGATATATATGTCCTTATAATTTTATATACTTTTGACCAGCAATTCCACTTCCAGGAATTTATCCTAAAGGAATAATTATTGACACAGAAAAATATTTATCTTCAAGGATGTCATGTCCTGTGTTTTTTATAATAAAAAAGGCTGAAAATAACCCTAATATCAAACAGCTGATAGTAAAATTATCTTGAATTTTAGCTTCAAGAAAAAGAATTATTGAGTGAACATCAAGAAAGACAAATTGTAGAATCATTGAGAAAGCTGGTTTTTTATTTATCTACAACGCCAGTCATTGTGCTAGAAGTTGAAAATGCAAAAATGGTTAAAATGCAAAAGCCTACAGTGTATTGGGGGAACAAAGCAAATGATCATAGTTCATTATGGTAACTAGTAATGATAAACCCATGCTGGAATTCTGCAGTACAACAGACCCTTTGCTAACCTGATAGGGCAAGTAGAAGAGTTTTGCTTTTGTTTTTGAGCAAAGATGTTCAAGCTAAGTTCCACAGGTTTTGATAAGTAGAAATGAACTGTGGTAGGGCAGGCTGAATGCCTACCAGAATTCTTGCTCCTCCAGAAAACAAACAGAGCTGTTCCCAGGAAGTGGCTGTCTTTCTGGAACTGGGATGTGAGAGAATGTAAGGTGAACACTTTCTGCAGGAAGCTTTTATGAAGCACGTCTGCTTTCCCCACACTCTCTCCTTTCCCTTCTTCTGGTTGCAATTAGACAACAGCAAAGTGCTAATGAAAGGATCCTTCTACCCATTGAAGAAAGCTGCCTGCTGACTAGGAACAGGAGGTCCTCAAATGATGTCATTTTGTTTCAAGTTGTTTCATTATTACATAAATGAGAAAAACACTTGATTCCAGATGGGGCCATGGTCTGTGTGGAGTTTGCACACTTTCCCCATGTCTGCATGCGTTTTCTCTGGGTCCTCAAGGTTCCTCCCACATCCCACAGATGTGCACGTGAGATGAATGAGGACGTACTATATATGTTAAATCACTAAAATGTTGAGGTCTATTTGTCACTATAGCTAACAATATTCTAATATACGCAATTTTAAATTCCCAAGTGAATGTATTAGCTCACTTACTCAAATATATTCATTAAGCATGTACTGTGTGTATATCAGTCTGCCATGTACTTGACAAATACAAAGGGTAACTAAATAGAAATCCTGCCTCCATAGAATTTCCTGTCCAAAAGGAAAAACAGTAGCCACTCATAGCTACAATACATGAAATAACAGCATTGGGGCAGATATATACATATACATATGTACACAATGAGGTCTGTCCAGAAAAATCCCAGCTATTGTTAATAGAATGAGAACGTTTTATGCAACATTGGTGTAACCTGGCAGCCAAGAAGAGTAAACTGGAATGTACATGCATGAACAATGGTGACTTCACTGTACTAATCACTGGGGGTGGTAAGCACCATTGAGTGAGCACATGTACTGTGTTGCCACCACATTCAAAATGACTAAGTGAGTAGAACAACAAATCTGCATCCAATTTTGCATTAAGCTTGAACATTCCTCCGCAGAAACTATTCAGATAATTCAGAAGGCCACAGTTATGGACAACTGGTGATTGGCAGCTTCATCACAACAATGTACCCACTTACGCATCACGTCTTGTACCGAGGTTTTGGCAAAACTTCAAATCAGCATGTGACTCAGCAGCACCCCCCGCTCCCGCCCCACCCCGCAGCCCAGATTTGGTGCCCTGTGACTCCTGGCTTTTCCCGAAAATAAAATCACCTTTGAAAGGGAAGAGATTTCAGATTGTCAATGAGGAAAATACGATAAGGCAGCTGATGGAGACTGGGAGAACTGTATGAGGCCCTAGGTGCCTACTTTGAAGGAGACTGCAGTCTTATTGTCCTATGTACAATGTTTCTTGTATTTTGTATCTTCTTAACTAAATGTCTCTGTTTTTCATATTACATGGCTGGATTCCTTCTGGACAGACCTTGTATATATCACTCATATTATAGGAGTTAAAAGAAGGGTGATAATACTTTCACATGGAGGTTCAAAAAAGACTTGGGAAACACTAGAAAATAATGTTTAAATGAAATTCAGACAGGCAGAAATGTGGGTGGAGGCATTCCAGGAAAAGATACAAATGTGAAAGATACCACGGAGAATGGAGACAATGGTCCAGATATGAGCACTGTGAGAAATAATAAAATGATAGACTGGGGAAAGATCACAGACACATCTGAATACTCGCCAAGGTGGTCATGCATTATTAACAATTGACTGAATTTAGGAGGTTCAACAACAACAAAAAAGGAGTCAAAGATGGGGTAGGCTATGAGCTAGGTTGACTAAGAGAATTTATAGAACCATGAATTAATCTTAAAGAGAAAATGCTGGCCTGGAGGTGGAGGACAATAAGGAGCTCAGTTTTAGATAACATGAGTACAGAATATCCAAGTGGAGATATAACCTGGATCTAAGTTCTAGGGGTTGAAGACTATAGGTTTGGTTGGGAAATGAAAAGTAAGAATTATCTATTCACTGGTGAGAATTAAGGCCAGAGACTGGAGTAAAGTTGCCAAAGGAAATTTTGAGAGAGAAAAAAGCCAGATTCCTTTAAAATATACACAAAGGCAGGAAGATAAAGAAAAGAGGCAGAGAAATGACTGAAGAGGCAGAGGATCCAGAGGAACCAGAATCTCAGGAAGCATTGGACCATGTCCAATTCAGAAGTAAAAAAAAGAACTACTAGTAATACTGTTAACACCAAGTACACAATCCCATTTAATACTCAAACAACCCAATGAAGCAATTCCCAGTTACTGACCAGAATTTCAGACCGGACAAAGAACACAAACACTGGAGTAAAATGAACTTGGATTCTAATCTTACCTCTGTCCTTCAATAGCTGCATAACCATAGGGCAATGAAGAAAATAATAGTGTCTGTGGTTCTCATTAGGTTAGTGAGGATTACTTTTAAAATACATATAAATTGCTCAGTGCAGTGCTGAGCATGTATAAACACTCAGTAAGTGGAAGCTATTATTTTAACTGTTTTTAAATAATGACCAACACAGGTTTTTCTAAACACAGTCTGTTGACAGAAATGTTAACTGGTAAAGACTTTTTTGGAAGGCAAGATTCCACCAAGTTTTTTTTTAACATACATACATACATACATACATACATACACCTGGCCCTGTGATTCTGCTTCAAGGAATTTCTTTTGTAGAACTATTACCATATCTAAGAATGTTCATTGTTGCAGCGTTTGTAGTAAGGAAAAATTGGAACAAATCTTAATGTGAGATGTTACTTATAGTGTGTGTGTGTATACACACCATATGATCACACATCTATGTGATACATCTATGAAGTATTCAATGCAGATTAAGTAAAATGATATGATAGGTACTTGTCATATCTTCTTAAGTAAAAAAGGCAATTTCTCAAAATAATCCATATATTATTCTATTGATGATCAAAAGACAAATGGAAAAAAAAGAATGAAACAATAGACACTAAACGAACTCTAAGAAATTTTAGCAAATAAAGAATAGAAAGCAGAGAGGGCTTTCACCTAAAATTCCTGTGCTGTTTGAATGAAATTTTGATGTATTATAATGTAATTTCAAAATGTAAGCCCTTAAAATAGGAAACATCATAAGTATTTTTTAAGAAATGTCATTGTAACTGGATATTTGACTCATTATTAGCAATGTGGATTAAAACTCAATACGATGATTTCGGTACTTCGGAGACCACCACAAGGAAAATGGTTACAAATTACGTTTGTCTAGCGCGAGGCTCCACAGTAGGCAACCTTTTTTGACCCCAAAAAGGTTGTAGGGGAAATGACAAGTACGTTAGAACAGACGACGTGCATCAGACAAATCTTTTCCAGTATTTTTAACCCCTAGTGAAAACATAATAAACACACAAATTATGGGTAAATGAGAAATAGCACAAAGCAAAACTGGCAATGAAAATGGGGTCAGAGCTATCTAATTAACATGGTCAGTGTCCCACGCCTGCTCCATCTACTCGGCTGGGTACAAGTGCGGGGCAAAGGGAGACAGCAAACACATCCTCCCTCCTCTGCAGTGAAACCCTGCAGGGCTGGAGTTCGGGCCTGCAAGCTGTATCCCGGGGGGATGGCTGTGGGTGCTGTCCTGTACCAGAACAGGAGGAGTGCGCAAAGGTACAGATCTGGCGGAGGTCCTCCCTGGTTTCACTCTCATTTCTCTGTCCCCTGACCTTGCTCAGCAGCCTGAGTCTGGTCCTCCACCCCAGCCTCCTCGCAGGTCTACCCGAAGAGAACAGTTGGAGTGACCCACTTCCCTCTCCAGGCTAGTTTCCCTCCCTGGGAGGGGGAGGCCTCCTTACAATCCCTGCCTGGGCAAGGTCCCTGGGCCCTCCGGGTGCACTCACTGTCCCCGCAGCTCCGCCATGGAGGGCAGGGGCTTCTTCGCCCGCCAGGCCGGGGACAGTGGTGCCCAGGTCTGAGCCTCCGGCAGCGGGGGCAGCGGGCAGCGGGGGAGCCAGCGACGCTCAGAGCAGAGCCCCCGGACCAGGCAGAGTGTTGGGCGGTGCGGGCCGGGCGGCCGCGCGCTTGCTCCGGCACCGCTCTCAAGGCGAACATGCTCAGAGAAAGGCAGCCCGGCGATGCTGGGGAGCTCTGCGCCCCGCCGGGCCCTGCTGGCAGCGGGTCCAGAGGCTGCAGCTCTCCAGGCCAACACGTATCCGTTGCCAGGCGCCCAGAACTTCCGGCTGTGCTCCGTCAGCAAGCCTGCAGGCCCTCATGGGAAGGGCAGTGAATTGAGAGTGCGCCTGGGTGGCGCATGGGCGACTGGGAGACGCGTACCCCCTCCACTCCCAGGATTCACACTAGGTGCTACTGCCCTCTTTGTGGTCACAGCTACAGGGGTTGGGGTGGACAGATGATACCAAAACAGGGTTGTAAACCAGTCAGTTGTGACACAAGGTCAGAGGGGCACGGAAGGTGCGCCAAGCACTACAGGGTGGGTAGTGAGCAGTTGGACAAGGCTGGCAACGTGCATTTCTGAGTTGCATTTTTAAGATTCGAACGAGGGTCTCTAGAGTACTGATGAGTCTAAACCTTTCAAACAGCCCAGCAATACCTGACTAGTCCCGTCTTAAGTTACAGAATCATCCCCGAATTCCCTCCCCACATCCGCTGTAATTCCATGTTCTACGCTTCCTTTGTCCGGCTTCTTTGGTGAAAGCTTAGGTTGTGTCTTCTCCCTAGCACCCTGACTTGCACAGTAGGCTCTTAGAAGCTCTACTCTTGCCTTCATTTCTTGACTCCACAATAAGGCCGCAAGTTCTGCCTTGGTGATATGGTTTAGATCTCAAAAGTCCTGAAACTTCTCTCAAGCTCACTTTTCTGTTTTCATTAAGTTTCATGGTACTAACCTTTCCTAGTTCCTTTAATTAAGAAAACCAACTCAAATTAGACCTGGAACCTAATACCATATTTTGTCATGTAGAATGCACTCCCATGTATAATACACACCCATGTTTTTGGCCCAAATTGTCAGGAAAAATTTTAATTTTTTAATTTAATTTTTATTTATATAAAAAACCAATTATCATACGCCAGGTTATTTACAGATATCGCTATTGCTTTCTAGAATTCACACTTTTAATGAATTAGCATAAGTAAAAGAGTTAAAAACACGTAGGTATGGAATTAGTACTACCCATGCATAATGCACATCCTTATTTTTCCCTCAAAAACTTTGGCAAAACAGTGTGCATTATACATAGCAAAATATAGTACTCAGCCCCACCGATTTAGTTCTGTAATCCTGTGGGAGGGAAGTTAACTCATCTAAATAACAGGGATAGTGATACTTACCTAAATGGAGAGGCACATTGAAAACACATGAACTTAAAGGGAAAATGTCTGGGGCCCATTCCAAAATCAATTAGGAATTCAGTTCTTGGTACTGCACTCAATACGTTATCCAGTTTACTAACTGATCTGCTTGAGTCTTGCTATCACACCCCCCACCAACAGCTCTGACCCAACTCTATACCTGGCTCCTATTGTTTGATAACCGGGCATCCAAATCCTACCTTTGTGAAACATCTCTATATTCTAACCTGTTGCTCATTTTCACATACTATTATCCCTACACAATTAAACTCATAAATCCACATTCCAGCCTCCACACCCTTCCCCATCCAACACCTCAGAACTACACATGCCAAGTGAAGATACAAAATTTTAATGGCTATTGCCCTTTAGGAAGCTTGATTAACTAACTGAAAGCAGCAACTGGCACACAATGCACCAAGCATTGTTAAAAGTACTAGAACAGAGAAGGCAGTGATTCAGACAAGTAAATACAAAGTTATTTCAGGTAGTAAGAGATGCTATGTTAAAAAAAGTTATATGAAGAGACAAGTCCAAGATGACCTTTTCCCATAATGGAAAAGCCAAGCATAGACCTGAGGGCTGAGTGTTCCAGACACAAAACCAAGTACCAAGACCCTACATTGGAAGATTCTCATTTTTGAAGAGCAAGAAAAAATATAACTGGGAGTCATCAAGATCAAACAATAGCCCTTTCAAATATTTCCCTGTCCTACTTCCTAGGACCTGAGAATATGCTATCCTATGTAGGGATTTTGCAGATGTACTGAAACTAGGAAATGTGATAGAGGAGGTTACCTTGGGTGGTCCAATGTAATAACAAGGATCCTTGTAAGAGGGAGGCCAGGAGAATCAGAGATGATGGAAACATGGAAGCAGAGACTGCACTTTGAAGATGGAAGGGATGATGAGCCAAGAAATTCAAGTGGCTTCTAGAACAGGTAAGGAAATTGATTCTCCTGTAGAGCCTTCAGGTGGGCAGGCCAGCCTGTTGACACCTTAAACCTTGCGAATTGCATTTTGGACTTCTGAGCCCCAAAACGGTTAAGACAATAAATCTGGGTTTTTAAGTCACTTAAAATGTGTGGTGATTTACAGCAGTGACAGGAAACATACTTAGTGCTATAGGTATACCTCAAGATTTGAGAGTTCAGTTCTAGAGCACCACAATAAAGTTGGAATCTTTTTTTGAGGGTAGAGGGTCTTGCCTTTGATTTAAAAACAAAAATGCAATGTCTGTGAAGCCCAATAAAATGAGGTTATGCCTGTGTTGTTACATGTCAGGTACTAGGTATGATGAAAAAGGCTGGACTTAAAAAGTTTTACTGCCCAAGATGCGGAAGGTGTGTGAAAATGTTTTGGCCAGTTTGATACCAAATCTGTAAAGGAGAACAGCAGAGGCAGAAAGTTGTCAACCTTCCCCTGGAGATGGTTCCCCAAGACCCTAAGAACCTATCACATTCTAGATGTCCCTATAGCATTTACCTCTTAATATGTGCTCCGTCTATCTTGACCATTATACTTGCATAGGAAAGCAGAGGCTTATTTTCATTTGCATGCCCCTGGTAGGTGCTCAAGTTTTACAATAGTAAAATAGCATTTACTTAGCACTCCGAGCCAGGCTCTGCTCTAAACATTTTACTTGACCTGACATAATTTATTGAGCTATTATGTGGAAGCTGGATATGAACCTAAATAGTTTGGCTCCTGAGCCAGCACTCTTGATCCAGCCTACCAGAGGAAGCTTCTAAGCAACACAAGGCTGAAGGACAGGGACAGCCAATAAAGCTGGCACTCTGAAAGGTACAAATGGTAATGTACTTTTGTGAGGTGAGTTTGTAGAAGTAGCACCTACTCAGTGACCCAGACTTTCAGAAAGGTTGGTTAGCTTTCTAGCTGACGGTCCCTTATAGAAGGGACTTTTAGGAGAAGAAGGCTAAGTAAAATAAGGCATTAATTTGCATTTAAATTGGTTTTAACAGTTCACAAAATATTTTTATAACCATTACTTTTAGCCTTCACAATCCTGTGATGAAGGGCAAACACACTATATAACGTTAGTACTGTTTATTGCTTCCAACATCCACTGGGGACCTTGAAACATATCCCCTGTGGATAAGGGGGACTAGTATATCTAACCTCAATCCACTGTGAATCTATTACTGCTCTAAAAAAATTGTTTAAGGCAAGCTGTGTTGAATGCCACCACCCCTCGAGTTTCACTTCTACTTAATACTATCCCAATTCCTACATCATTTAGTTTCACCCACCTACCCATGGTAGTTAGCAATATGCCATTTGTACAACTTTATACAACAACGAAATTTTCTTTCTTCTGAGCCACTTCTACCTTTCAAGATACTGGATGAACAAAGGCTGTACTCTAGCTGCCTAAGTAGTAAAACAAAACAGGTAACTTCCAAACTCAACTCTTAGGCTCCACCTGGAAATTAACATATGCTAATTTTTTGTACATTTATCCACTGTTTTCTAAGACAAAATTTCTTGCAGACCACTTGTACACTCAGACATGTAACACTGATTTTATGAACTTAAGGACCTTACCCTGGCTGGCATGGCTCAGTAGGTTGACCATGACCCCACAGAGTCAAAGGTCACTGGTTAGATTCTTGGTCAGGGCAAATGCAAGAGGCAATAAGTCAAGGTTTTTCTCTCTTTCTCCCTATCTTCCCCTCTAAAATAAAGAAATGTAATCTTTAAAAGTAAATAAAAGACTTTAATTTCTCTCTAGAATTCACTGACTCTAAACTCACCAGTGCAGAGAAACAGCTTCCACACCGAATAATTTACAGAAATTCTTACATATATTTGTCCAGCAACTTTCAAATATGAAAAAGTAATGATTCTGGTACAAAAGCATCAAAAGAATTTAACAGGGTATCTGTTTCATATGCACTATACCTCTGGTACAATCATTGAAGACTACAAAAAGTTGTTACTGTTATTGCATGTACACTTTATGTTACACTGTAAACTTTCAGTTCACTAACAGGTAAGATGACATGCAAAACATAAAAGAATTTATAAAATACCAAAACTCATTATTTAAAGTTTTTGCTCACTAGTTTCACTTTAGGTGCACCAAAATAACTCGCATCAGTGGGCACTAATTTCTTCCTTCGTAATATATACAATATGTAATGGAAAATTTACTGATATATGGACAGAAGACACAAAACAATATAAAATCACATTTACATGGTATTTTATAGGCAAGCCAAAGCCTGAAAAAATGGAATTTCAGCAATTTATTTGTGTATGTAAGTTGCTTTTATTACCTTACCTACAAGTCATGATGCACAAAAGCCTGTGAACTAGGCAAAAAGCTACCTCAATAGCACAATTCCAAATTGTAGAAATAAAATTCCTTTCATACAGAACGTCTTTCCTGAATCCAAGAAATGTTTTTCACAAGCTACAAAATGAACCTTAAATTTTGGATGCAATGGTTGTTGATTGGGGCTTAATTTTATCACATCAGAAGTGGTGCCACAATAGTTAAGGGACAGCAGAAATAGGCTAACAAAAAAATCACCAAGACAATACATGTCAATTTTAAAGCAGTTCTTGTTTATTAACTGACCAGATTACAAAAATGACCAGGGTAGATACCTGAAAGGGAAAAAAAACTTATTATTAAAGAAACCACTTTAACAGCTAAGAATTAAAAATTAGGAAGCTATAAGGAAGTACCAATCCAGTTTCTTTTTAAGTAGGAAAAACAGGCTTTTCCTTCCCTCCATAAATATCCTCAAAAGGAATAACCAAACCAACTGTAACCATGTGAGATGGCTGATTCCCACCCCCCTAACTAAATATATGGATTAGAACTCAACCAAAACCTTATCAACATTTAATAGAGAAAACACTTTTGAGATTATATCACTTTTACTGTAGTATTAAGTAAACTTCTCAAGAAGTTGCTCACCTTAGTTCATCCTTCTAATAAGCCTGTTGATCTGGTCCTCCCTGTTACCCGCATCTCCACCTTCTACAAAATGGGTGGTCTTTTTCTTCATTCCACCTCGTGGAGAAGATAATTTGAAGGGCCACAGGAAGTTGTTTGCTTCTTTGAAGTGTTTTCCAACAGTATATATCTCATGAATCAGATCCTCCATGCAGATTATGCCATATTTTCCTGAACATTTTACGGTTATTTAATATGGTTAGGACTTTGCAAATATTATTAACAGTTAAGGTATTCAACAAGCACAATTATAGGATGGAAGAGTTAAAGGGAAAAATACAGGGCCATAAGACACCAGAAAACATCAATTTATTCATCTAATATCAAACTTTTCCTCAAAGAGATAGAACTTACCAAGAGATCGAGCAATCAATGCATTATCTGTCAGGGCAATTCGTTTTTTGTTGATTTTTCCATACCCACGCTTGTAGATCAATTCATTTACTGACTTCAGGTTAGGGTACCTGAAATATGAAAAACAAACATAAATAACCAAAGAATATGGTTATTATTGTCAAAACACCTAAAATTCATCTTGCTTAACATAGCCAATTTACCAAACAGAATTCAAAGGAAAAGACAGACTTACCCCCATGCAATATATGGTTCCACAATCCTCAGCATGTTAATTGAAGCCTTGTTGAGCTTAACAAATGTACCATTGAAGATCTGGCGAAGGCGAAGAAGCTGCAGCACTTTTCGGACCTTTGGGCTCACACCATTGATACTGCAGTGAAAAAAAGACCAAAAATTCACTTGGCATTTTATAAGAATCTTTATTAATAAGAAAGTATTAAAATTCTGGACAACACAAGTCTAACCTAAGTACACAGAAATCCTTTCATGTTACCAAGACCACTGGTGTTTTTCCTCCTTTAGGTAAATTTTCCTATTGCCACTCCCAGTTTGCCTCCTTTTCAAAGTAAATTGTCTTTGGACACAAACCTATGACATTTAAACTTCCTCTGACCCTTTTACCACTTCTTAGTTAACACAAGTCTACATTTTAGTACTTTCGAACTTCATCACAAGGACACTGAATTCAAGTCCAGTGCTCAATTAGAGAATGGCTACGAGCTTTGGGCACAAGTCTTCCAATTAAACCATTAAAATATTGCCCCCTTATTCAAGCTACCCCCAAAGTACTTTTATTCCAGAACCAAGGCCTGTAGAAGTAATGTTTAATTTTGCTGGGATGGCTGTTTTCCCTTCAAAACCAGACTGCAGTAAAAAGCAAACTTACCCTCTGATCCTGATGACAAATGCCAATTTGGGTTCTGCAGGTACATAGAAGTTGCCAGCTTTTCTTGCCATTCTAGCCATTCTAATCTCAGTTCTGTACATCTGCCTATATTCCTTGTGATAGTGCTTAGCTTTTTCATAGATAAGCTTCCTCCTTGCTTTTCGAAGCTGAAAATGAACGATCAGTTAGTCATCTGACTTTCAGCTCCCAAACACAATTAGCAATACCATTTTCTTAGAAGAAAACACATCTTCCCTTGCAACTTTTTTCTTGCTAATTTGCACTAACATTCTGAAAAGCAGATGCCACTTTGATGAGCTAACCAAGCTCACCGGTACAGCAGGTGAAGTAAAGAAGTCCTGTTAAGACTAACACCCTCCTCCTTTCCAACCCCAAAGCCTCTTCTTACAGGGCAAGTACCTCAAAAAAGTTTTCCTTACCATCTTTTGGGCAAACTTCTTTCTCAGGCGCTTGATTTTCAGCTCTGCGAAATTCCTTCGCTTTTTCTTAAGGGTTTCTGGCACAGCAGGAACCTTCTTCTTCTTCTCTCTAGCGTTCACAAACAATGTTAATACTTCAAAAAGCTCACAGCACTGCACCATTCCCATTCTGTACTGAGCGTCACTTAACAGCACTATTATCAGTGGCTCTAACACTAGTACCTTTAATTGTTCTAGTCTGCTACAGCACGAGATGCAGACTTTAGGCAATGTCTTTGCTAACAATCACCTTTAACAAGGACATTACTTAACCGACAGTCGCAAAGACAGCCCAGTCCCAGCCTCCCTCCCCACGACAATGAGAAACTACTTCAAGACACTGATCCCCAAACTTCTAACGAGGTCTTAGGCTTCTCAAAAATAAAAAAAAAAAATAAGATAACTCCAGAAAACAACAAAGAAATCCCAGTACTATCCTGGTTTAAGCCTCAAGCTCCACATGCTGAGAGCGAAGGCCCAACGGCAGGGACACCCAGACCAAGTACCAGCCAAGCGCGAACTCATATCAGAGTGGACTGGACAACCAGCCGACTCCACACATACTCAACTCTCACACCTCTCCTCGTTTCCAATAACTCCTAAACCTCCGCCCCAAGGCCTCCTGGACCCCATGTTAGCCTCTGGCCACCACCAGTGTCACAGGACGTCATAAACACACAGATAAGTGGGCAAAGATACAGTCTACAGATGGACCACGAGACAGTGAGCCAAGAGGTCTCCGGTCTAGGGGATGGAAGAGGATTCTCTAAGTGGATTCTCTAAGCGACTTACTCCGCACCCTCCATGGTTCCAGCCGGAAATAAAAAAGAGGAAGTTAGCGCATGCGCACTGTTCACTTAAAGACAGCGCGTGAAGCCCCACGACTCATAGGTATTCCAGGATAAGCCAGAAAAGAAGTCAGAACTGAGAACTTGGAGACACAAAATTCAGAAATGCCCTATTCAGCCTCTTAGGATCAAGTTCAGGATAAAATTTTATGGGGGGAAAAAAGCATGTATTAGATACTCTTTAATCAACATATGAGCAAAAAGTGCTGACACCTTGACTATTCGGGGTCCTAGTCCTCAAGCTGCGTTTAACCCGGTACAGAGAGAATTCCAATCACTAATGTATGCAATTAACACGCCGCTGGGGTGCGAACTACAAATCCCAGCATGTATCCGTTCTCTCGCCCACCCGGTGAGAGGGCTACGCTTGGCTGGGACTCCAGGCAGCCACCACGGTCGTGATTCCAGCCAAAGAAAATGACAGTCTTTTGGCCCACATTGCAAAGGGCTATCTGCGAGTCTAAGTCGCTCCCGAGACCCGACTTTAACTGCCTTTTCGGTTCTGTCAAACCCAGTCACAGCCTCCGGCACCTAGGTTGCCTTGCTGCCGAGGTCCTTTCGTTCCTCAAGCGTGAGGGGCTGTCTTCTGCAGCGCCTGATTGCAGGTGGAGCCGTCCAGTGTCCCAAGGTTAAGGAAAGTGGTGAGACAGGGACAGCGAGGATCGGACGCCCGGAGGAGGATGGCCGGGGCGCTGCCAACTACCGGGCCTGGCAGGCGGAGGCCGGGACACCCCACGGCAGGGGGCGTGAGCCGCGAAGGGAGCGACGAGGGCTGGAAGCTGCGGCCACGGCCATGAGAGAGGGGCTCTGCCCCGCCGCCGTTCGGCTGACGGCTGGCGGGCTGGGGGCTGGGCCGGGGGCGGGGTGCGCCCGGGGGCGGGGAGGGCCGAGCGGAGGGAGGGCAGATGCTGCCGCAGGCTCTTCCCGGTCGCGGGTTATATAGCGAGGAGCGTGGAGCCCGCTCAGAGGCGGTTGGGAGCGCTCTGACTTGCGAGTGGCGCCTCGCTGCGGAGCCGGGTGCCCGAGTGACAGCAGCAGGGAGTGCAGGGCAGGGGGACACCAGACTGCGGGGGCAGCTGCCAGCGTTTGGGCACCGCTCGCCTGCGCAGAGCGAGTCTCCCCTTTCCGGCTCTCCCGCTGCCCCGCACCCCACCCTCCCACCCTCTCGCAACTTGGGTCAAGTTGACAACTCCCACGGCGGCCAGCCGGCGGGTGCAGTCTCCGCCGCGCGCCCCTCCCCCGGGTGAAAAGGAGTCGCTGCGCCGGCTCCGGGAACTCTTGTGCGGCTGCGGCTTAGCCATGAGGGCAGCGCGCGCCGCCTAACTCGGGGCTGTCACCGCCGCAGCATCGGGACTCGCCGGCCGGGAGGGCGCTCCGGGACGGGCAGGCGACTGCCTACAGGAGGCGTCGAACCCCGGCAGCTACTGCAGCGGGCACAGCCCGGGGCCACCGCGCGGAGCCCGTGCGGGAGTGGCCCCGCGCACTCCAGCCCGGCGGGCACCTCGGGGGTAGGCGCGGGACCCAGACTTCTAGTACGGGTCGCTCTTACAGACTCCCCGGGGTGGGGAGCCGGGCTCTCTGGCGCGGGGTGGGCGCGAACGTGGGCGCTGGGCTCGTGCATTGCCTTGGACTTCGCGATGAACATCGTGGTGGAGTTCTTCGTGGTCACTTTCAAAGTGCTCTGGGCGTTCGTGCTGGCCGCAGCGCGCTGGCTGGTGCGGCCCAAGGAGAAGAGTGTGGCAGGCCAGGTGTGCCTGATCACCGGCGCCGGCAGCGGCCTGGGCCGCCTCTTTGCCCTAGAGTTTGCCCGGCGCCGGGCGCTACTGGTGCTCTGGGACATCAACACTCAGAGCAACGAGGAGACCGCGGGCATGGTGCGCCACATCTACCGAGACCTGGAGGCGGCGGACGCTGCAGCGCTGCAAGGTAACTAGGACCTGCGCCCAGCATAGTTGGTCAAGCCTCTCCCCGCCCCCGCGCCCACCCGGGAGGGCCCCGGAACCCACTGTCACAGTCAGTGGCTCTCGAGAAAGATAACCACTCTCCACACCGACTCGGACTTATGCGAGTGGATTTTTCTCGATAAAGGAATATGACTCTGTTTTAGAAAGGGAAAGTATGCCAAACCCTTTTTGTAAAGGAGATCCTGTCTCTTTGGGGACGACTGTGGGGTTTCCTAATCCCTCGGAGGACGGGGAAGGCAGAGGGAACTTGTTTTCACAGGTTTGAATCCTAAAGAAATGCCTCCATCGCCTTTGCGATGGGAAACTTATCTGGGAAGTTGTCCTTAGAGTCGATGGATGCACGTATATATGTTAATGTGGCTTGAACCTCTTAGACTAGGGGCAGCACTGATTTCACTATAACTTCAACCATGAGAAAATAATTACATTGTTTCACCAGAGATAGGTACTTTAGCTACATACTTTGCCTGATTGAAAGACGCTCTGCCTCTTAAGACAAAGTGCTTGAAGGATTTAAGCCTTTTTGTAAATTTATTCCATGTTTTTGGTAACCTCAGGAAATCTGCATTTTTGTATATTTATGAATTGGCCTGAATCTGAGACTTTAAAAATAAATCAAAGTGGGGCCAATAAGCAACCATAAGTACTGGTCCAGGAAATTTGATAATCGCTCTTGCTTTTTGACAAAATCTTTTATTTCGAAGGAAAACGTTGAACTATACAGGGAAGATTAAGTTGGGCACCACTCCTACCCTGTGATGATCATTGTCACCAAAATTAGTGGCACTTGCTTTTTAGGCTAGAAAATCAAAGGTTAAAAATGTTACATCTTCAACAATGGTTTGGAGGGCAGCAAATACAGATTTTTGTGCTCCCTGCCAAAACCTAAGAGATAGTGGTATTTGTTTTCCAGGAAAGAGATTTTGGTTTTTCAATTGAGTTCTTGTGTGCTAAAATGGCATATTTACCTGTGAGCTTGATTTGTGTGATGGTGCTATCCTGGTTAGAACACCAGTGTGACCTCTACTTTTCATGAAAAACTTTAGGTTCATTTCTTGGCTCTGAGTGAATTCAGATGATTAATTACAGTTTTAATTTGTGAGCCTTGAGGTGAGTTTTTATTTTGAGGGTGCACATCTAAATAAAAAGTAAAAGCCACTTCTGGCCACTTTTCCCTACAAACAAGGAGAGTGTAGTGTGTGTGTGTTTGGGAGGAGGGGTGTTAACTCTCTGGGCAGATATCAGTTCTTTCCAGGTGTCTTTAGCCCCAGGAAGCTGATCCCATGAGGTCTGACTTGTATTGGGCTTGTCACAGTTACATGATTTTCCCCTAAGCAAAGTTCTCCAGCAAATTGCTCTAATTCCCCAAGACTTCTAGGGGAGGAAGGCAGCTGTAAGTTCAGTCATTGGCAAGTCTTGCAGTGTTAGAAATTTGAAGCTCACTGTAGTATTTTTGTTTTGTGTGATCTTTGTCCTACTGATTAACATGTGACTTACGTTTTGCAACCCCACCCCCACCCCCTGTTGCATTTTTCCCCCCTGCTGCTCGTCTGGACTTCTGAGGACAGCTGGGAATGGTGAGGAAGAAATTCTGCCCCACTGTAACCTGCAGGTTTTTACCTACACCTGTGATGTGGGAAAGAGGGAGAATGTCTACCTGACGGCCGAAAGGGTCCGCAAGGAGGTTGGTGAGGTCTCAGTCCTGGTCAATAATGCCGGTGTGGTCTCTGGGCATCACCTCCTGGAATGTCCTGATGAGCTCATTGAGAGAACCATGATGGTCAATTGCCACGCACACTTCTGGGTAAATATAAACATCCTTATTTTCATTTCTGGGCCCTCCTCAATGAGAAGCTTGGGAAGGAGAGAGACTTCAGTACCAGCCTGAAAGCCACCTGCACATTGCTCCACAAAGCTTCCTTCTAACTCACTATTCCCCATGGTGAATGACATCGTACACCAGTTACTATTAAATAGCTGTTTGCTTCCCCCCGCCCCCCAATTCAGTATTTCTTGTGAGGGTAGAGGACTGAACATTTTGAACTAGTTTGAAAGACTGCCATAAAAATAACAAGAGGAAGCATAAAATCCTGGGTTTGTTTATTTTACTTTCTGTTGAGTTTGTAAAACATTGGTTGTTCCTATGAATTCCTAAAGTCAGAGTTTAGGCTTCCAAATTACTGCTCAGCCACATTTTGGGAAGTGCCAAAGAGTCTGAGATCAGCATTTGTGGTCCACTGGGAGCGGTCAGGCCACCCTGGCAGGCACTTAACATCCATTGACCATCTCAGGGTCTGGGACATTGTTCTATTGGAGTACATCTCAGCTTAGAAGATGCCTCTCTTAGACAGAAGTCACCCTGATAGGACCACAGAGTCACTATTATAGGGGCAGGAGGATTGTGAGGTCTGGTGGACTAGGGGCTTAAATCATATCAGCTTCTAGATGATGGTTAGAACATGAGAACTACGATAGCAAATAAGAATGAGAAGGCAGGCTTTCTACTGTTCTGGGGACAAAAACTAATCTCAGTTTTTCAACTGAAATGATTCAGTAGTGGTAGTTGTGAAACCCTTCCCTGTCTGTAACTGTACATTGTCGATCCACTTTATGCTTTTCTTCCTCCATAATATTTCCCCTTTACTTTTGTAGACAGATAGGATCTGATAAAGAAAGGGTAAGGAGAGAGGATGGTATGTTTTGTTTTGTTTTTCCATAGGCAGATTAGCCTTCTAATCGAACACAACAAACAACTGTTTCTCCTAAATAGGTCACAATAAACGTCATTAGTTTTTTAGCAACTGCTTAAAACTTAATCTGGTTTTAGAAGTACTTATTCAAATGTTGCTCCTTGAACACCAAACCATTTTTCTGATTCTGGAAGAAGTTTGTATGTTTTATTTTCAAACATGAAGTTTATTTAATTCATTTTCATACCTCAAGAAATGAACATATAAATGACTTGAACTAATTATCATGTTTTATAGGAGGAAGGAGATTACCAGATACAGTTTGGGGGATTTAAGTGTGTTTGTGTGTGCATAGGGAGTGTGTGTGTGTGTGTGTGTGTGTGTGTGTGTGTTGGGTGCAGTGTGGGTGGGGAATGAATAAAAGTCCTTGCTGCCTTGGGGTCCACAAGAACAGGTGGCAGGTGAAGAAAGGAGGTGGGGTCAGACAAGGAAAGGCCAGTACAACTGAACAAACTGGGCAGTACAGCTTATCAAGAATCTTGTGTGTTTATTATTCTGTGTAAAACAATGACCATTTGATTGTTTGATAAAAGATGTACATAATTTGCAGGTGGACTGAAGTTTTCATATTTGAAGATGATAAGGATGAAACTGCCATAGAAACCTGAGTTGATTTCAGTCAACTTATTTATCTTTAAACAGATATTCAGCCATCAGTAGGCTAGTTATGAGCCATATTAAGACACCAGGACTGGTCTTTTCCAGTAACATTTCACTGGGATGATGCACAGTTTCCGAACCTAGAAACATTTACCTATACAAAATACGCTAAAGTTTAACCCTCTTGCCTATTTTCTCTGCATGACTATTTTGTTGAATTGTAAAAAATTTCAAATGGAATCAGATTTTTAAAGAACTCCCATTTGACTCTCAGTTAGATACTTGTAAGAGGAAAGCAGTTTCTGTTCTCTAAACATTCTATGAAATAAGAGCTAATTTAGAATGTGTTAAGCACAGAAAATCCATAGCTTTAGCTTTGAAAATGCACATCAGTTAATGTACTTATACCTTAAACATCAGGCTATTTTGTAACTAAGGAGAAAATTAAATCTGCAATAGCAAAATTATTGAGGAGCTGAATTTATACAGCAAGAAGAAACAAATCACCTTCCCAAAGGCCTTTTGGCTTTGAGATGTTGTTTAACTACACAATTTAGGGAGTTCTTGGAAGCCTTGACAGTAATGACATCACTTCATATTAAAATATGGGAGGCTCCTGAATTCTCCAGCTGTTTTTCCCCCAAGCATCTGAAGTTAAGAATTTATTTTCAATATTGAGTCAGAAAATTCATTTTCAAGTTGGAATTTTTAACTTCTTGCCAAGACTTAGAAACCTTTTAAGAAGTTGAGATCTAGTAACTAAAATGTAGAAGAAGAATTATAATTTATACAGTGATTTTTATGGGGGGGGGGGGATTTATATGGCCTAAGAGCCACCTGAATTCAGCTTCCCTTCCAGTAGTCCTCTCAGGAAAATGTTCATGGTAAGCTCAGAGATGTGCAGTGTTGGCATGTGCTGTTCCGCTTCCAGAAAAATAACCATTGTGTCTTTCTACTGTAACCAGGTGGGGAAAAGATGTTGCCCAAAACATTTTAAAAAGTAGATCAGCTGAGGGAAGACTTGCTTGGTAATTTGAACAGATCATCTTGAGCCAGACTCTTAAGTAGCAGTTGTTGTCTGTTTTCATAGAATCAATAGTATGCAGTCCTGACCCAGAGTTAAAGACATGTGCAGCGAAAGAGAAAACCATGTGGGTGTCATGTGGACATTCACCAAAACGCTGTGGATGCCGCTAATTCCAAACCATTCCTCACACTGTTGCCTGAAAGGCCCCCTTCCCCATTCTATCTACCTTTGAAGGCCTAGCTCAAGCTGTTCGTATAACCTTCCCTCACCACTCCAGCCCTTCTCTGACATTTTTGTGTATTAGAACTGCAAGGGTCTTTAGAGACCGTCTTGTCCAACCTTTTGTTTTCCTATAAAGCTGCAGTTGAATGACTTGTTGAAGCCTTTTCTCTTCTTGCTGTGAATCTCTTGCAGCCTCTGTTGTCATTCCCACCCTTTGGTGTATAGTATGTGTTCTCTGATGTAACTTTTCATACCTTGTGCTCTGAAACCCCGACCTAGATGGCAAGCCGTCTGAAGGCAGTTTGTTATGTGCATCTGTTTGTTTTCCCTTATCTGGCACAGATCTCTACTCATAAGTCACTCAATAAATATTTAGTAATAAAGGCGAGGCTTCTTCTTAAACATTTAGAAGATAACCTGTTCAGAGAATGCTCATGGGTCTATCTTCTGAAATTTCAAAAGGTAAGCATTATGCTAGACTAATTTAAGTTGGGTAAGATTGATGAGATTTCAAAGTGGGGCTGGCTCACATTCATTATTGTTTGTATCTCCTTTTGTTTCCCTATTAAATTTTTCCATTCTCCTTGCCCCACCTATATGCTCATTTTTACCATAGTGTATTAAATCTGCTCAGTGGTGTGAGCCTAGCAACTCTGAGAAGGCTGGTGTGTACATGCTGATTTGAATTAAGCTCAAGTTGAATGTCTGGCAACTACTCCTATTTCCCAGTGACTGGGCCTCGAGAAGAAGATCCCCACTCTGACTCTTTCCTTGCTTATTGCTATTTCCATGCACATTGGCAGTTTTTACAGTACTTGGCATTATTCTGCACAGCCCTCCAGTCTGCTGTGACTCTTCATCCTCCCATACTCTTCCATCATCAACTCTGCTAGGAGCCTTCTCTTGGTTACCAGTTAAGAAGTGATAGATTTGGGGTAGGTTCTAGTCAGCATAATGTGTTGTGCAACATTCATGGTGAGGACAAGACCATGGAGAATGTACACAGTCAATGCACTTTGTTTGCCATAATCATAGGAACCATCTTAGGCTTTCTGTATTTGATGAAATGCAAAAGTTTGAAAATATCTCCCTAGTCTTCTTCAAAATATGGAAAGTTGGCCTCCACACAGGAACTACAAACCCATGTCTTTCCCAGAACATTAACATAGCTTCTCTTGTTTTTCTTTAAAAAAAGTAGAATCTTAGCTTGCTGTTTCTAAAAGGTAAAGTCATTTGGCCTGTCTACGTGAGCAGCACATTGATCCCTGATTAACCAAAAGGGGGAAGCAAAAGCATTTAGCTGCAGGCCTTTTATGTTCTGAAAAAATTTTGCATTGCAAAGGACTAAATCTGTCAAATAGCTAGTCTGTAATTTACTTCTATTGATATGGTAGTCAGACAAGATAATTGGTAGTTAATTAATAGACCACTTAACTTAAAAGGTTTCACAGTTTTAAAATACTAATTACTGAATTTGGCATTTATCTATATCCAAATGTCTAAAGTCTATTTAGTTAAAATCCATCCAGGAAAAGTAAAAGCCCACTAGTAGATCTGAGTAATGTAGCACTTAGCGACATTAGTACCTAATATCTCATGAATGGTTCCTAATCATTAATGTTCAAGATTTTTTTGTGATTTACTAGATTTTAATCTCAAATACTATAGTTCTGTTCTCTGGTTAGAGAAACCTAGTTTTGTTCATGGCCTCTTAAATTTAGATTTTTTAAAAATTATTTCTAAATTATTCAATAAAATTGTATACCCAATGCTTCCTCCTCCAAATCATGATATTAAAAATTGTTTAAAAATTGTTAGACTATATATTTTTATAGAGCATTGTTTTCCTGTCTTAGGATAACCCTAAAAACTTGCCATTCAAGGCCTCTTTTTTTTTAAGATTTTATTTTTAGAGAGAGTGGAGGGAGAAAGAGAAGGAAAGAAATGTCAGTATGTGAGAGATACACTGATCAGTTTCCCCTTACACACCTCCAAGTGGGGACCTGGCCCACAAGCCAGGCACGTGTCCTGACTGGGAATTGAACCAGTGACATTTCAGTTCACAGGCCAGCACTTAGTCCACTGAGCCACACCAGCCAGGGCCCAAGGTCCCTTTTAAAGTCTATACTAGCGCTGGCTTCTGTTATTAAATAAATAGATGCATAAAAATCAAATGTTTGAGCTTCAGAAATAAAGGCTTTTTAT